CCATTTGATGCCATTCAGTTTTGTTTTGATATGTTTTTTGGACCAATATGCATGACTAGTAACTAGAAGCAATTCAGAGAGACAGGAAATTACTACAGAGAGAGGTATGGGAGAATGCTGCATTCTACATTTGCTTGTTAAACTAACACAAAAGCAGCATTCAGTTCCCAGAAAGTCATAATATGACTGTCCATTATTGCAATTTCAGCTCCAATGAATACCACTGTATGCCCTATAGAACATAGAAAGGAGTGATTATTTTCCTCATATGTATATAAGTTCAGCATGCAGAATATAAATGTCATCTCTCTCTCCCTCCCTGCCCCCTCTGTTTGTGTGTGTACACATATACATACATACGTGCAAAGGACCTCCTTATGCTATTCTACACTTTGATGTTACTGTTCTTTCAGCAAGAGTCCCAAAAGCTTATCAAATAAGAGGCCAGTTGAGAAATGTATACAGCATAGCCATAAAAGTTAATTGAATCCACAGCCTATTTGTGGAACATGGACTCTAATGAGATAATAGATACTACAGCGCAGGCTCTCCATTTCTCTATTAAGACTCCTTGCTTGACTAAAGAACTCAGTGCAGAACAGTAATTTTGATTCTGCATAAATGGAGAAGTACAGCTGAATAGCCTATGCTATAAAAATTGTTCTAGAATCCAGAGTATGTCGAGATTAAAACTGGTAATGTCTTGAAGGTGGACCTAATTGCAGCTACCAAAAGCTAATGTAATATATATGCAATATATCTGGTAAATATCTGTCAGAATGACAATCAGGTTTTAATAACATGGAAGGACTAGACTAAAAATAAGCCAATCATACTTGTATTTTTCCTGGACTTATTGTTGTTGTTGTTGTTGATGATGATGATGATGATGAGGAGGAGGAGGAGGAGGAGGATAATAATAATAATAATAATAATAATAATAATAATAATAATAATAATAATAATTATTATTATTATTATTATTATTATTATTATTATTATTATTATTATTATTATTATTATTATTATTATTATTATTATTATTATTATTATTATTATTTGGAAGGGACCTTGGAGGTCATCTAGTCCAACCCCCTGTTCAGGCAGGAAACCCTATACCATTTCAGACAAATGGCTGTCAGGTTTCTTCTTAAAAACTTCCAGTGTTGGAGCATTCACAACTTCTGGAGGCAGGTTGTTCCACTGATTAATTGTTCTAACTGTCAGAAAAATTTCTCCTTAGTTCTAGGTTGCTTCTCTCTTTGGTTAGTTTCCATCCGTTGCTTCCTGCCCTGCCTTCAGGTGCTTTGGAGAATAGCTTGATTCCCTCTCCTTTGTGGCAGCCCCTGAGATATTGGAACACTGCTATCATGTCACCCCTCGTCCTTCTCTTCATTAAACTAGACATACCCAATTCCAGCAACTGTTCCTTGTTTGTTTTAGCCTCCAGTCACCTGATCATCTTTGTTGCTCTTCTCTGTACTCTTTCTAGAGTCTCAACATCTTTTTTGCATCGTGGTGACCAAAACTGGATGCAGTATTCCAAGTGTGGCCTTACCAAGGCATTGTAAAGTGGTATTAACACTTCACGTGATCTTGATTCTATCTCTCTGTTAATGCAGCCTAGCAATGTGTTGGCTTTTTTGACAGCTGCAGCACACCGCTGGCTTATATTTAAGTGATTGTCAACTAGGACTCCGAGATCCCTGTCACAGTTGCTACTATTGAGCAAGGTATTACCTATAATATACCCGTGCATTTGGTTTTTCTTGCTTAAATGTAGAACCTTACTTTTTTCACCATTGGATTTCATTTTGTTAGATAGCGCCCAATGTTCAAATCTGTCAATCCTTCTGTATCTTAAGCCTATCTTCTGGATTGTTGGCTATTTCTACCAGCTTGGTGTCGTCTGCAAATTTGATGAGTTCCCCATCTATCCCCTCATCCAAATCATTGATGAAGATGTTGAAGAGCACAGGGCCCAGAACAGAGCCCTGGGGCACCCAGCTACACACTTCCCTCCATGTAGATGCAGTTCCATTGAGGACCACATGCTGAGTACGGCTGGTCAACCAGCTACGAATCCATCTGGTGGTGATTTTTTCTATCTTATCAAGTAATAGGTTGTGATCTACTTCATCAAATGAAGTCCAAGTAAATTATTTCCACAGCATTCCTCTGATCCACTAATTTTGTCACTTGGTCAAAGAATGCAATAAGATTTGTCTGGCATGATCTGTTTTTGACTAACCCATGTTGGCTTTTAGTAATGACTGTGTTTGCCTGTAGGTGTTCGCTGATTCGTTGTTTGATTATCTTTTCCAGAATCTTCCCAGGTATTCAGGTCAGGCTGATAGGTCTGTAATTTCTTGGATCCATTTTTCCCCTTTTTTTGAAGATGGGAACTACATCAGCTCTTTTCCAGTCCTCTGGTAGCTCCCCAGTGCTCCAGGATCTTTGAAAGATATAGTTCAGTGGTTCTGAGATCACATCTGCCAGTCCCTTCAGAACCTTGGGATGTAGTCCATCTGGTCCTGCTGATTTGAACTCATCTAGGGTGGACAGGTACTCACCATTTTCTTGTCTATCTTAATTTGTGTTTCTAATCTGTTTTTTATGGTACTGTTTTTGATAGGTTGGACTGTTTTTTCCCTTTGTGTAAATACGGATGCAAAAAATGAGTTGAGTAGTTCTGCTTTCTCCCTGTTGCTTGTCACCTTCTTGCCACTTTCTCCCATTAATGGACCAATCACTTCCTTAACTTTTTTCTTGTTTTTTACATGTTGAAAGAAGGTTTTTTTTTTGTTATTTTTGAATTTTGTTGCAAGCCTTATTTCATTTTGAGCCTTAGCTTTTCTCACTTCATCTTTGCAGGCTCAGGCTATTTGCTGATATTCTGCCTTAGTTATGTGCCCCTCTTTCCACTTTTTATACTTGTCCTTTTTGTCTTTCAATTTATCAGAGAGTACTTTATGCAGCCATGCTGGTTTCTTTTGAGAGCTGTTATTTTTCTTCTTCATTGGTATTGTGCTAGACTGGGCTTTTATAATTTCACTTTTCAAAATTTCCCAAGCTTCTTGAATTGTTTTCCCCTTGAGGATTCTCATTCATGGAATCCTTTCCAAGCTCTCTCTAAGTTTGTTGAAATTAGCTCTCTTAAGTTTGACTGTGTTCTATTGCTTGTGCTTGCATAATGTTGAATTCTAATATTGCATGATCACTCCCCCCCAAGGTTCTATTATTTCATCTCTGTTTATCATAAAAATATACAAATTAAATTCATATGTACAAATTAATTTACAATTTAATATTTGCCATTTAGGTCACTACTTACAATGAAAATATAAACCCATTGTGGTAGCAATTATACAGAAGGTTAACTGCTTTCTAAAAATCCTTGAGAAAGGATTGAAAATAAAATTGATAATAATTTACTGACAAAAAGCTATGATACGAATATATTTGGTATATTGTTTATGATTACATACAATTTTGGGCATTGCTGAAGGGATGCAGAAAAAGAAAACATGTTGTGTTATTTCCATAACAAAGAAAAAAACAGCACATGAAGCTTTTTAGCTTCAGGTAGGTAAGTACAGCTCCAACAGAATCATAAAATAATACATATAAAATCAAGTTAAATTGTGTAATGGTTAAGGCATCAATTAGAAATCAGGTGACTGTGAGTTCTAGCTCTGCTTTAGGTCAAAGCCAGCTGGGTGACTTGAGCCAGCCACAGTCTCTCAGCTTTAAGAAGGAGGCATGTCAGAAAAACCTTGCCATGAAAACTGCAGAGAATAATCTAGGCAATTGCCAAGAGTCAAAACTGACTCAAACGCACAAAAAACAAATATATAAATAATACTATTTTATAGGACATAAACTATGGAATTTACAGCCATCACAGTTAGGCTGATCAATATAAAATATTTTAAATTCATGGTGATAGTTTTGTTAACGGTTATCAACCATGATTTATGATTTAGTCCTTGGCTTACAACCACAATTGGAACTGGCATTTTGGTTGTTGAGTGTGAAGTGCTCATTAAGCATTAAGATGTCACATAACTGCCCACATGACTGTTTTGCTCAACAACTGCAATTCCGGCACCCTTGGAATTTATAGTCATTAATTTATTTTGACATTCCTTAGCAGCTAGATGCATTTAGCACCAGAAGTTTAGACCTGGAGTATAACTCTGTCAGGTAAGGATACGCAATTCTTCAAAGAAAAAAAAATAAACAAGATGTCTAATTATGCTCATTATTCAGTGCTCCCATTTTATAGAACTATTTCTGAGTAAACTGCAGGACTTCTGAATTATCAATTGATACATCATTTTTTTCTAAAGTGTCATCTAGTAAATATACATGAATCAATTCCACTTATTTTAAATAAACATTTGATATAATTTTTTTTTATAATTGCAAATGAAGTGCTTTGCATTCTATTATTGGAAAAATATGAAAAATTCTCTCCATGTTATTCTTTTCATGAAGAAGAAAAAGAACAATATGGGCTCTGTGTTGTATCATCATTATCATAACTGTGAAGGAAAGGCAGACCATCCCTTCCTTGGGCTAAGAAAACTGAGATTTAAATAAGGATTGAAATTACCAAGAACAAACTAATAATGAATAAGAAAATATTGAGGTATATGAAAGCACAAACTTATTTGACAACTTCTGGTCTGAAAGATTGTCTGTGAAGTTTTAGTGTTTAGTTTTCATGTCACATATTTGAGCAATTATAATACAGCACTGAGTGGAGGGGAAAAACATTTAAGATTACAGAGAATACAAAGCGCAGAGACTATTGTGAGGGCTGAGGTTCAACAGAGCTGCCTTCTTAATAAACCACTGTTGTATTGGTCTGTAGATAGTTATCTGTGGCCTTTTAAACATTTCTGAGAAACATTTCACAGATTTTTCCACTGTGAAACTTAGAAACCACAAAAAAGAAGTGGCAGTTTCCTCATCTCTATTAGGCAAAGCTGATGGCCAGAGCTCAGCAATTAAAGGCATGTATGTTTCTTGTAGAAGAAGGAAGACTGATATTAGTATTAATGGGACCTCTTTTGTATTTGCCAGCTGTACTCCTATTGCTGCTTGGTGAGTTTCACTTAGTGCAATTTCTTTTTATAGAAGTCTAAGTTCAGGTTTGCTATTTCTTGCTGATAAAAGTATATTCCAGTATTAGCCAACTGGATATCTTTGAATGCTCACCTAAAGCTACCCAACCTTCCATGTCTGATATTCAGAGAATATCACATCTGTTCACAAAAGTTCCATTTAATGATTCTAAGAATTGATAATGTACTTACTTACACAGGTCTTTTTCCATTTAGGATTAGTTGTACAGCGTTTGAAGAGATCTTTTTAATTATTTCACAATTTTAGGAAAGCTGCAAGGCACCACTATTCATTATCTCTATATCCTATTTGTAGTGACTTATGCATTTATGCTATTGGGATGAGTCCGTGTTGTAAAGATTTAATGAATCCTATACTTTGCTGATTATTGCTCTTGTGTCTTGTTCTCTTAAATTAATACTAACCAAACAAGGTTTTGGAGATGCTGATCCTCATGATCAGATTAAGGACATAAGTACATTCAGGTGGGATCAAACTGTTTTTTTAATTAAAGAAAGGAGGGCTGTTATTTCACTTTAGAACTTATACTATACTTATACTATATATCTTTTCATTTTTCCCACCCCAATATCAGCAGAAAATGCATGTATACTTAGTGGTGCAATCAGAATGGGTACTTGAGACACAACAAACTAGCTCAGGGCCTACAGTTGTTTATATCATTTAAAATCTTTCATAGAAGATGTGTCCTTCTCCAATACTTAAATTCAATTATATTAAATTACAATTAATTAAAAATAGTGGGATAAATCAAAGATATATAATGTCTCCAGGAACTTATACAAGTTATTTGGATGATTTAATAATGTTTAATAAGGCAAAAAAACAAACATAACAATAATCCTAAATATAAAACCAAAAATATTGAATAATATGAAAGAAGACAAGCTTCACATTTCAAAAGAAATGTTAACTAATACAAAAATCAGTCAGTCCTAAACCTAGATCTAAAAATATATCCAGCAAACCAAAAGAAAGTGGCTTCAGTTGCTTGTAATTACTATGTGCCTTATTATATGCCACCACATTAATTGGTTGTTGATGTCAAATGATGGGAACTGTGCTTATCGTTGGGTGGTAAATCCTGTAATATTATTCAAAAGCAGAGTAATTAGGACTCTTTTTGAGTTCCCTGTAAAACTGATAATAGAAGAAGGCTAACTAAAGAGCTCCTCTAACTCTCAGGACATACTATGATATCTTCTTATATCTACATATCTTCCAACTGCCAAAGGAATCACTTTCCATAGGTTAACAATGGCTCTTCTCCAGTCAAGCTATCTGACTACATAAGATGTGTAGCTGGTTCCATAATAAAATACTGATTGTGATAGCCATGATTCAATATTAAATAAATCAAGTGATGTTACATTGAACTCATCTATGTTATAGGAATGAAGCCCTCGATCTTGAAACAGTTTTGAGCTCTGATTTAAACAATATAACGAGATTTTAAAAAATCCATCATTTCATCCTATTAAAGGACAGAAATAATTAACATATTTTTGACAGTTAATTTTACAGTAATATATATGCACAATATCTTGTGACTTTTTTGTAATTAATACGTTTCAGCCTTTCTTTTGGTCTCTCTAAATGATCCAATTGTTCCTTCTTATACGCAGCCTAGAATTTCTGTTGATTCTTTATTTTCTTGGAAATAAAACCAACCTTGATCAATATTAATCAGAATTGTCAGATTTCTTATTCAGCATTATATAACTCTCCTAAATGATACACAGCACTTTGTTTTAATTCACTTTCTTTTTTCTGAATTAGAATTAATTTTTTTACTAAATTAATTAATGTGAAGAAGTACTTGGCTAGATTATAGATAGAAACTATACATATTGCTTTCTACAAGTTTCTAGAATATTAGTTTTTATTAAATTATTATAAAGCTTAATTTTTAAATCATTATCTCACTACTGGTTATAAATATGATAACTTCATATTTTAAAAGCTAAAATGATGCTTGACTATGCACAGGAAGAAACAGGCTGAATATATGGAACAAAATTAAAACTCAATATGAGTTAATACCACTTTACAATGCCTTGGTAAGGCCACACTTGGAATACTGCATCCAATTTTGGTCACCATGATGTAAAAAAGATGTTGAGACTCTAGAAAGAGTACAGAGAAGAGCAACAAAGATGATTAGAGGTCTGGAGGTTAAAACATATAAGGAACAGTTGCTGGAATTGGGTATGTCTAGTTTAATGAAGAGAAGGACGAGGGGGGACATGATAGCAGTGTTCCAATATCTCAGGGGCTGCCACAAAGAAGAGGGAATAAAGCTATTTTCCAAAGCGCCTGAAGGCAGGACAAGAAGCAACGGATGGAAACTAACCAAAGAGAGAAGCAACCTAGAACTAAGGAGAAACTTCCTGACAGTTAGAATAATTAACCAGTGGAACAACCTGCCTCCAGAAGCTGTGAATGCTCCAACCCTGGAAGTTTTTAAGAAGAGACTGGACAGCCATTTGTCTGAAATGGTATAGGGTTTCCTGCCTGAGCAGGGGGTTGGACTAGATCATCTCCAAGGTCCCTTCCAACTTTATTATTATTATTATTATTATTATTATTATTATTATTATTATTATTATTATTATTATTATTATAAAATAATAGGATTTATTTAATAAAGCTAAAGCAGAATTCATTGTTTTTTTTTAATTCTAATGCAAGATTTTTGAATGTCACAAATGTTCTAATTTGCATTATGTTACCACTGTCTAACAATAGTTATTGGAAAGTTTAAATTGTCTTGTTCTCATCTACCACTTCATGGGTCTGGACAATGTGTTTTTTTAATATCTTAATGTAATAAACTGGACTAATTCTATTATCTTTTAATAATTTGTCCCTAGACCTCTGTGTGGGAGAAAGAATGGTGTCTATTCAGAAAGGACCTCTTTACCGAGTAATAGGCACACACATCACTATTTGGTGTAACGTCAGTGGCTACCAAAAATTGGAACAGAATTTTGAGTGGTCCACTTATCTGCTATCAGCTCCACAGAGAGAGATGCAAATCATCAGCACTGGAGACAGTGGATTCTCGTATGCTGTCTACTCCAAGCGTGTCAAAAGTGGGGAAATTTACATTGAAAAGATCAAGAAAGATTCTGTTCTCCTGCACATTAGAGACCTCAAGGAGAACGATGCTGGTGTATATGAATGCCACACACCCAACACAGAAGGTGTTTATCTTGGGACTTACAATGCCAAAACAAATCTCTCAGGTATGGTAAAGTATGGGGTGCATATTCACTTATACGCCTATATAAATTTTAATGTCAGATGTTTGATTTACTCTACTAGATTTTCTTCTACTCCACATGGAGAGTGAAATGTATAAAACTACTTGTAAGACACTATACATGTGTCTGTTTATCTAGGTTCAGCTTAGTGATCATAAGTTGTTCATACTATATAATAATACATAATTATAAATCTTAAGAACTAGATAATTAATTCCACTTCAGTGTCAACTTTATACCCTCATTCATCTTAGCCTTAATTGTTTGAATCCAAGTTCACAATTCCTTCAAGATCAGTATATCATTATCATAGTCTTTGACTAGTACACCACAATCCCCTCTACAAAAAAGGATTTCTGTCTGAAGAATGTAAAACTGCAATTGGTCTTTTCTTTCTGTTTAGTAATTCCAGACACACTCTCTGTCACCATGAAGTCACAGATTCCCATGCAAAATGAAGGCGACTCTTTGGATCTCATTTGTCAAGTATCAGTGGCAACAGCACAACATACCCACCTTTCTGTTGCTTGGTATGTAATACCAGAAGGAAGGGACAGAAAGGCCCAAAAGATTCTTTCCCTGTCCAAAGATTACGTTCTATTTCCAGGCCCTTCCTACATTGAGCGGTTCAACTCAAGAGACATCAGGCTAGTGAAAACTGGGGATACTGAATATAAATTTTCCATCATCAAACTTCAACAATCAGATCAAGGTAAACTGTACTGTGAAGCAGTGGAATGGATTCAAGACCCTGATGGAACTTGGAAAGATATTGTCCAGAAACAGACAAATACAGCATCATTGACCATTAAATGCCTTGGTAAGCATTTCTTAAACTAACATATGTGGCATTTTATAAACAATGTATAGTAGCAGCTAGTAAAGAATCTGTGGGAGAACTGTTTATGTCTCCCACAAATGTTGTTAGTTTATTTTATGGTTCTGAGTTTTCTATAACCATGATTTTAAAAAGCTTTAGGTATAAATGAACCTGGAGTCTCCATTCATCAGATCTCTCTACATAATCAGCTACTTAGTGGGATTTGATTTGGTTTTTCTTAAAAAAAGAATTGAAACATATTTGAAAAATTCTATTGCTCTGTGGTCCTGTCCTATCAAATTCAGAAAAATGATGATAGAGAAAAGTAAACCTTACACACAAGATGGTTGCCTTTCTCAGATACAGATATAAAAAAAACTCAATTTAGGAAGACCAGGGGAACGGGTACTTCTGAAGCACATCCATATAACTCAAGCAGTGATTGAAATAGTGGAGAAAGAATGCATGGGGATATCTATTATTTCACTGCCCAATTTGCTAGTGCTGTGATATTCCAGGCCCTGTTCATGTGATTCTGAGCCAAAGAGGAACTGAGGCAGTGGAAGGAAAGAAAATGAAAATGAAAATGGAATTGAGAATGTCTTGCCTCCTTTTGCTTTTAGCCAGTTTTGCTGTGATACTAAGTAAAGGAAAATGATATCAAATTTCAGCTCACGATGGTTATGAAATCCATTACATAACCAGATGGCTTCTCTACCTTTGCATCAAATTTGATGACTTCTACAAGACTTCTACCAAGATAAAAGGGAGACCTAACCAAAACAAGTGTCTTTTTTTTAACAAGTTAATTCTGTAATAGTGGAATATGAGTTCTCCCAATTGACTTCTACCATAAAAATACGACATCCATGTAGCACAATATAAATTTTGTGTATTCAAATATTTAGTGCATTTAACAATTTTCTAGATAACAGTTATTAGATTTCCAAATATCTCCCTTCCACTTCCTTTTTCAGTCACACTCAGTTTATGAAGTTATGCACTTTGAACTTTGTTATAAAGACTGCTACTGAAAATAAAGAGAGTTACAACTTACATTAGAATCAGGCTCAAGTGAAGCTTAGATCATACACATGGCAAAATAAATTTTAATGCATTTGTGAACTGAAACAGCACAGTTTAAAGTTCCACTTTACCTATAAAAAGATTCAACAAATATTTCTCAATGAAAAACATTTTAGCAGGATTTCTATTCTGCATTATTCAATATATTGATAATTTGGGGGAGATTAACAATTAGATCAGAGCAGCCATTAGCTGCAGCATTTAGAATTATAGATGCCTTTCCTCCCAACACACTGGAGAGTTGATGGGAAAGTGCATTTGTAAATATACCTTTGATAAGAATATATTCTTCTTTTTACCTGTTACTTTTACTGTGTGAAACAAAATAACTGCTTTATTCAGTTATTCCAATGCATTTCTATTTGTTGCAGAAATGCAACTTATTTGTTGCATAAATCCAAACACACACACACACACACACACACACACACACACACACATCCCTCTTGCATTATTTTTTATAAATAACACAAAGTGGCGAACATATCCAGTACACTTTACTCCTCCTATTTAACCCACAGCAACAACACTGTGGGGTGGGTTGGGCTAAGAGAGAGTGATTGTCCCAAAGTCACCCAGTTCACTTTTATGGCAAAGGTGCAATTGAACTCGCAGTCTCTTGCTTTCTAGTCTGGTACCTTCACCAAACTGGCTCTATATATACGCAACTTCACTGGCTCCTCATATATGCTTGAATTCATTCTTATGAGTCTTGGCAGGGGTGAACAATAGTGAGGAATTCTGAGAGCTACAGTCCCACCATACCTGAGGGATCCCAAGGCCTTACCCTTGCACTAGGACAGCGGTTCTCAACCTATGGGTCGCGACCCCATTTGGGGTCGATCGACCATTTCACGGGGGTCGCCAAGCAAGGCTGTCCGCCATTTTTTTGTCCGCCATTTTTTTTGTCCGCCATTTTTTTCCCTTTTTCCGGCGGGTGCCTTACCTCCCTTGGGCTGGGCCAGCTGGTGGTCGGCCTGCTCCGTCTCTGCTGCTTGCCAGCTACGCCTCGGCCGGCGCAGGGGGCAGAACCACGCATGCGCGGCGCTCCCGGGCAGGAAAAGTCCTCGACTTACGACCGGTTGGGTAGTCCTCGACTTACGACCGGTTTAGTCCTCGACTTACGACTGGTTTAGTCCTCGACTTACGACCGGTTGGGGGTCGCGGCACTAGGATGATTATTTTAATGGGGTTTTTTTTGCCTTTAGTAACATTTCATTTTTCCTGGCCCATCCATACTCATAATGTTTGTAATTGTCATGTCATAAATACCAGAGTTATATATTTTCCTGAGACAAAGTAGAATATAGTTATTCCTCAAGATACAAATCATGCTTTATGGTACTTAAAATCCTCTACATTATCTTGGCATACCACATTGAGAAAACCTACAGATACATCTTCCCATACCTAGCAGACAGAGGAAAAATAATAATACAACAAAAACAAAACAACTTAGATACAATTTAGTAATACTCCAACATGCTGCCGAATTGCCTGTGATCTGAGACAACTTCTTCATTCAACTTCATGGTTCGGTCACTTGATCTTGTATGTTCACTCTGTGTATTTATTTTTATTTCTGCAGATAAAAAATCGAATATGAATAACACTGCTGTCAAAAATTCAACTCTGAACGGAATAGAAAAGCACCTCAGTTGCTCAGTGGAAACCCAGAATATCCATGGTTCTGTGTGGGTTGGCTCCATCATGATGGGGTGGTGGTTAGTGCTGATCATTACTGGGCCTCGTCTGTCCGAAATGACAGTGAAGCAAGACCTAGCGTGAGAAATCTTCTAGTGCAGCAGCAAAGCAGTGACAAGCATATCCTTATGGTAAGTCAGGTGGAACTGATAGACAAAGAAACATAGAGCTATAAGATTTCTGAAATAAAAAAACACGCTCTGAGTTCATTTTTCATTATACAAGAAAAATTCATCTGGCATCAGTACAAATATGAAGTCTCAAGGTCAATCAGGCTAGATTTTTTTTTCTATACATAAAGTTGGCTTGACTAATAAAATGCTGTTTTTTTTCTCAGAACTGATAGATTGTAGCTTTTCTATTATGTATGGCAAATGCATTTGTTCAGAATTTTCCAGACTTTTCACATTCTGTAGTTAAAGTCATTCTCAAAAGTTTTGAGATATTTGGGAACTGTGAGGTTTGTGTTGCATATAAATATATAAAATAAATAAATGGATAATGAAAATAACTGAGAAAATTTATTTTAAAATAGCAGGGAAAAATAAAGCAGATGGCATAAAACAAAGGAATAAAAAGGTGTCCCAAGATAAGGGAATGGATTATGTGCTTTATAATACGGGAACAAACTCTCTGACTTCCGAATATCACAATTTAAACCAAATATATTTGCATGTAAAACTTTTGCATGCTTCAATCCATCCCTATGTGAATAGAAGCTAACATGACCTTAGCATGATACAAAGTTAAATATAACGATTTTCTGAACATTTGAATACAATCTTACCACTTATGCATACTTTTTTGAATCCACATGTTAAGATGTTGCATATAATTTTGTGCTATGTAGAGGCTATTTCAGCTTCTGTTCACTTAGGCATTCATTGGAATTTCCATTTTTGCAGGGTGCCTGAACTTTTATATGCACATAAACTTTGACGTATAAAAATAAATAAATTAAAAGGATTTCTGGTTTGCGCTCGTAGTGCATGGCCGCGCGACAGCAGACCTCCGCTCCCCATGGCTAATTTTGCCCTGCCAGGGGGACCCTAGATGGGTCCAAAGTCTCCCCGTAGAGGTGACCGCAAAGGAGAGGCGCTCCATTGATCACGAAGGAAGTTTACCTTTATTTTATTGGCAACAGCAAAGCCCTTAGCTATGCAAATCATGCCAATGTGGAATGTATTAAAGTTAAACACACCAGAATACTTGATTATTCTTTCTTTTGTGTTTTTAAAATGAAATATAGTTTACTAAAAAGTTTAGTCTGAAGAAACTGGTTGGCAGTTGGAAAGGAAGTGAAACAAAGATGCATGTTATGAAGGAGCAAAACAAATTCTTGAATCAAGATGGCCAAATTATTGAGTTCCCTGAACTCAAGGGAAACCTCTGAACATGTTAAGGAGATAATTAAGTCTTCTCAGGTATCTTCAGATGCTGGCTCACAAGTTATCTCAAATCCACACTTCTATTTTAATAGATAACTAGTCAGCAGTTAACCACAAGAGTTACTTCTTGCCAAATTCCATTTTATTAATATTCTCACTATAAGTGGAAAATCTATCAGAAAATATAAAAAAATAGGATGATTGGCATTTGATATCATTATTGGTTAGTATTTAACATACAACTATATAAACATTGCTTGTATCCTCCTTAAGCGAAAAGAACCTTAAAATCTGACCCCAGTGCTGATAAAATAAACTTGGTGCTTTCTGAGCTTGGTTGTTGTTGTTGTTGTTTTTTTGCAGACTCCTATTTACCCAACTTGGTAACAAATTTGATGTTTGATTATTTGTCTGTTGGTAGTTCCTTGAATGGGATATTGTTACTGCTTGATTGTTGATTAAACCTGGTGTTAATCTCTGCTTATCTGAGTATTGATTGCTTTGATCTTTTTGTTTCCTATTTGTTTTTTTGATTATCTCTTTTGAATGATAATTAGATGTTGTTTATCTCTGTGTGCAGGTTGATGACTGATTTGTCTGAATGCCACAAATAAACTTTGGCTCAAGCAGATTGCATAGTCACCACTCATAAACTGTGTCACAGGGAACTTTTTTCTCCTTTCATTACCTGTTTAAAATATACAGCAATGCATTATCAGTCTGTAGGATTTGAAAACACTAATGGCTGAAATCAAAATAGGATTTAAGACATGCTGATAAAACCACTTTGTTGGCCACAATAAGGCTTCATTAGTAAAGTAAAAATGAAAAATCCTGGTTATTGTTAAATATTAAGAAAATATAGGTAATGCTAAGCAGCAGGCTTAGTGAATTTAAGCATGCCTGTTAGCATTACTGTGCAGGATAGTAGATTATTCTAGAAAGCAAGGCAGTAGCAAACTTAGATAAGAACCTGAAGGATATGGATTTTTTTTAAAATAGCAATAATCCGAATTCTTAAAGCTTGCATGGTTGTGAAAATAGGCTATAGAGAAAGAACAATAGACATCTTCAAATTATAGATGCAAAGATTCTTGCTGAAAGTAACAGCAAGACTACTGTACAAGAAAAAGAATCCATCCTGAACCAAATAACTTCCTTGAGGTGATAGTCAACAAATAGAAACACATAATTTGGATATATGATGCAAGTGGATGATATTCTGTTAAAAAATTTTGGTAAGGTTGAGGGAGGTAAAAGAAGATGACAATGGTAAAATAACTAAACAAGATCAAAGAATACAATAAACATGTAGATGGTAGACATTTGTAATATAATTTTCAAGGGAACAACCCTGATTTAATGCCATCCAATGAATTCACTCATTCATTCATCAGAAACAAATGATCCTCTTCTGCAAATATTTGATGAGAGAAAGACTGTATTAAAAAGCTTACATCTACATTGCTATCCATGTTCTGGTGCATCCATTTTGGTAGATTTTTGGCAGAAATGCGTGAGAAGTTATGTATTTTAGCCACTTGTTCTTTTGTTCAATATCACTTGAGGACCCATTCTGAAGATATTCATCTTTTGGGCAATTGTGCACTTAATGGAAAAGAAATCTAAATAATAAAAGAAATACATCACAAATAGGATACATATCTAAGTTCCAGAAGTTACATCGCAGATATATCATAAAATACTTTCAAAAGATTTTAGCTGATTTTATGGGAGACCTCAGCAGCTATAGCACAAATATTGCTTGACTTCCTTTGAATCTTATCTGCTTAATGAGATAAAAAAGTAAAATGGTCAACCCAATCCAGTGTCAATATTTGTGTTCAGTGTATGTGCAATTGAAGTCCAAAACAATATTCTCACAATATGAGCACTGTGTAGCGTAGTGTAGCATTGATACCTTTTCATGATAGACAGTTGTATACCTGAGATATTGTATTCAATGCACTTATTCTTGTAAACTAAAACTTTGTGAAAAATAGTCAAAACATCTGGAAATTTTATATTTATGCAACCTTTTAACTTTAAATACCATAAGACAGTATAATAACGACCTAAGATAACACACAAAAAAATTCAGGACATGAATTCTACTACACAATACTGAAAATGAGAAGAATACAATAATATCATCTTCAGAATATGAAGAGAACATTCATCTTAGAAATGATCATCGGATATATTACCTTATATCAATTGCATTTTGGAATCACATGTCAACATCAAAATATGCTGCATGGTGATTTTACCCTCCAAAAAACACTGATAAATATATCTCTTTACATCCCACTTTGATCCTGTGGGTGCAGAAACAAAGAGCTGCCTGCAATAAACAAAACCATTGCTGCGGCAGTGCGCTAGTACTGAAGTGACTCAACCTATGACTCTGGGTTTTTACTGAGGGTAGGTAGTGGGTTTCGCAGAGCTATACATTGACTGTACATACAGTATGAAAAAGCTGTTTGGTTGTTTGGATATTTCAGTTTCCGAGGCAGCAGACCTATTCAAAACAAAAGGGGAAATTTGGCAAGTGTATGCAGTTGATTAACTTAGTGGGTTTTTATTTTTCTATTTTTGACATTTCTTTCGAGAAGAACTACACCAGAGGACTAAAAAACCTAGAAGAAGCAACTGCAGTGTTTGTGTGTGTGTGTGGGGGGGGGACTTCTAAAAACTAAAGATTTATTTGGGCAATGCTAGTCCAGATTCTGTGGATTAAATCAGGAATCACTTCCAGTGAAATTCGACTAAAATCTAGGATCTCTGCTTACATGTTGCTCCTGCAAGAAATAAGTCATAGTTTAGTTTAATCATAGTCTGGACACACGTCATACTGAACCATGAAATAAAGTTTACAATCTCTGATAACTGGGTTCACAAGTCAGATTAACTCAGCAGACTAGCCTGTTCTTTCTTTGGATGATGTGTGAATCTGAATGAGCCTTCAGTAAGGTCTGACTTCTTTAACTATAGCTTAGCTTCCACATGGAATTAAACTTCCCTTAAAATGACCTTGCCTTTTGATAGCCATCTGGCTTAAAAGATGGTTTCTAAGGATGGTCGCCTACCTCTCCAAGCTGCTTCTATGAGCTCTAAAACTAGACAGAGTCTAACAAGTATCTGGGACCAGCTGATCAAATAGATCCCACCTGGCAGTCATATAAATTAGACCATACTAAGAAACCAAGACCATATAGGTCATGTAGGTCATGTCTATTTGTGTTGTAACAGCTAGTGTAACAAAATCTTGCAAGTCTGAATGGATTTCTCTCCTCTCTCACATTATATGAATTAGAAAAGGGGCTGTCTGAGGCATTCACTTAGGGAAATTCCTTATGCTCTCTGCACTGCCTCCCTGTTGTGGGTTACAGCATCAAAACATTTCAAAACTATGTCCAAACCCACTATACAGGACTGATAGTAATATCTCCAATTCTAGATCATGTTGCCAGTTGCCTAAGTTTAAAAATATAAGACACCCCCCCACTATGAATTAGGCCAAAGATAATTTCATTACCAGATTAAAGTGCTCTGGGGAATTCTACTGCCTATACCAGTGGTGGCGAACCTATGGCACTAGTGCCAGAGGTGGCACTCAGAGCCCTCTCTGTGGGCACGCATGCTGTCGCCCCAGCCCCGCCTCCCCCGTAACCCCCTCCTCACCAGCAGCCCCCCTGGAGAAGAGTCACCCCCGGGTGCGGCCCGTGCAGAGCTGCACAGCCAAGCACATGGCAGCTGGGCAGCAGATGATGCTGCTGGGTGCGGGTGGAGGGCGTGGCCATCATGGCGCTGCAGGGCCGCCTGGGTGATCTGCAGCGTGCCGTGGATGGCCCCGAGGGTGGGCGGGATGAGGCCAGAGCAGGGCGGGAGCGGGCAGGCGGAGCGGGGGCGGGCCGGTTTTGGGGCACTGTTTCTAAAAGGTTCGCCATCACTGGCCTATACTGTAGTCTCAAGCAGCTCTGGTATGAAGGTTGCTCTGCAGCAAATGGACAGTAGGGTGCAAGGCCTTCCTTCATCCATACAGCCCAAATTCAGGAAATGGGACACATAACAGCCTACCTTGA